CATAAATTTTGTTCCTATTCTTTAATACAGGGGTAGGCAAACTACAGGCACGGCCAAATCCAGCCTGCGGGTGATACTGTTTTTTACATGAAAAATATATCTTATTATGTGCATTATGCAATGTCTGATAGTTGAGTTGAAAAGGTTGTGAATAATGACCGCGAGTGGTGCTACTATCGTATTTCCCCATTTGTCATTGTTTTTGAAAGTACTCCCAACAGGGGAATGTTTGTGCATTGTGTGCCCCACTAGTGTATTGAAAGTTTTGCTATAGCACATGGGGTTTTCAACCAGTGGTACACAAGAGAAAAATGCGGTATGCAAAGAAGCAAAGTATTTCTAAGTATTAAATTCAAAGATTAAACCCCAAACATCCTGACTGAGTTTTTTCTCTAATTATTTATTAAAAATTTATGCGATCTGGCCTTTGTTCAAGAGTGGTGGTGGTAGTAGTACTTTGTAATGGTGGTACTAAAAGTTTTCAATTTTTGTTTAAATGGTACACGTAAGTCAAAAGGATGAAAACAGCTGCTATAGCAGTTCAAGCAGTATTGTATGTCAAAATACTCTGTCATACTTCATTCTTTTTATTTTATTCATTACCTACCATTACCATGCCACTCTTAAAATCAAATAAGAAGAAAAAAGGAGATCTCGAATGCTATGAAATTTATTTTGTCATAGAATTAAATGACAAAGTTTTATACTTTATATGCAATGATATAATAGCTGTGCCAAAAAGAGTACAATATACATCATCATTATCAAACTAAGCACGTGAAGCAGTATTCAAACATCACAGAAAATGAACAATCATTAAAACTGGAAAATTTAAAACAGAATGCATCATGACAATGCAATTTATTCATACAAATAAAAAATTATAACGAGGCAGTAACTAAATTCAGCTTATACGAATAGTTCATTTAGCCATGATAGAAAGCTATTTACCAATGGTGAATTAATTAAATCATGTTTGCTTGTGCCACATGAGCCAAAGAAATCTGCCACGAAAAATAGATATGTTTTGATCTTTCAGTCTTTTCAGCAACAACCATTAAATGACTTGAGGACATTAGAAGCCCCATCAAGAGTCAATTAAAGGATAAGGCAAAAAATTTCAAATGGTTTGCGTTAACTCTTGATGAGTCGACAGATACAATCTGCATTGGAATTGGTTAAAAATGTGTCATAACTGATGGTGGAAAAAATATGTGTGGAATGGGAAAGGGTTAAATGGACAAAATTTTATGGCTAGTGAAGATACTAAATGTTTAAAACTCTGGCAGTTCATTGCCTTATTCACCAGCAAGCTCTTTGTGGGAAACATTTATATCTGTCATGTTAATAAACTAGTTGCATCAGTAGTAAACTTCATTTACTCATCTGGACTTAACCATCACCAGTTTCATGTATTTTTATTACAGTTCGAAGCTGAATATGCTTTATCATACAGATGTTTGTTGGTTTTGGCAAAGGAAAAATTCTTTGAAATGAGAGAAGTCATAAATATTTTTTTAATTAAAAAAAAAAAAAAAAACTGCCCACAGCCTTTATTATCGAACATCAAATGGCTACAGAAATTAGCTTTTGCCACAGATGTTGCAGTATATCTTAACGAATTCAATTTAAAATTGAAGGGAAAAACGGTACTCTTATGAGAAATATATTTTAATCATAAAAGCATATTGGTGAAAATTTGCATTGCTTGAAATACAAATAACATTAAACAAAAACTTCAAATATTCAGAGAAATTTACATTACCAAAAACATTTGTGTAAGATATATTTTCTGAACTTATACTACAGTTAGAACACTGTTTTTTGAATCTTGATGCAAATGCAAAAGATATTTTCATGTTTCAAAATGGATTTGACTGTATAATTCAGGATCTTCCATCAGAACTTTCGGAAGACAAATACATTCAATTAAAACCATACACACGGGAATAGATATTATATTTGGGAGTACTTACGAATGCGAAAAGACATTTGCGAGAATGAAGTATGTAAAATCGCAATTCAGATTATTATTAACAGATGATCTTTACAACTTTAGGGTAGCAGCAAACAATTTTAGGGTAGGAGGTACTAACTTCGAACTCCAGTATGATGAAATATTATTCTCAGAAAAAACAATTATATTCTTCACATTACAAATTTTAATCTATTTAACGTTTTTTTAATATGTAAATATTTTTTAGGTGTTATGTATGCTATTATGTAAAAGTATCACTTCATAATTAAAAAAATGAAAATTTTTTTGCTCTAAGAGAAAATTACCCATTCATAGCTTCAAATTTGTTACTTGGCACACTGAGCCTGAAATTTTTAAAATCCTTTCAAAAAAGGTTTGCCGACCCCTGCTTTATGACAATAGACCAAGAGAACAGCAAAAATCTACCTAATGGACAGGGATTAACTATGCCTGCAAGCATACTGAGATGAAAATTCACCTAAACTGGATGATTAAACCCTAAGATGAAAATTTACCTAAACTGGACACTAAACAATACAAAAGATTCAGTTTCAAGTATACTTTTAAGCATCTGAATACATCATCAATGAAACAAATGCTTTTTTTCTCCCATTACCCTTTTCCCCAATATCAAACATAAAATTGCTCTAACTGATCACTGGGTAAGTTAAAATTTTAACAGTTAAGTTTTAATTTTAATTTCTAAACACATAAAATTATGCAAAACATATCTTAAGCTGCACAAGGTTACTTTGAATACAGTAAAGTATAATAAATTTCTCAGATACATAAATAACGGAAATATAACTTTCAAAGGTGTTAAACACCCGGCATATTAAAAATCACATTTTTAAACACTAAACCAATATAAACCCTGCATCTAGCTACAAAGAAAAATTTTTTCCCTTACACATTTTAAAGTACAAAAAAAGTTTTCTTTTCTTTCTTTTTTTTTTTTTTATCTGAAATATACCCTGCATAAAATAACTGTCAAATTTAACATGCCACATAATATAGATTAAATCCAAAAATTTCAAATGACAGATTTATTTTAATATACCATATCAGAAAAAATATATATTTGTTATAAAATGCACTGCTAATTGTAGACAGTAATATCAATCTCCTAGTGCTAAAATACATATATTTACAAATTTATTTAAACTGTACACTGTTAAATTTAAAAGTTCTACTCCACCCCAGCCTATGCAGAAAAGATGATCCTAAGTTTAACATTAAAAATGACTGTTTCTGCTCTTTAAAAATTAAGATAAGAACTACAACATATACTACAACATGAACAATGCTGAAAATACGGTTAAAAACTTAAAACCCAACAATGAAAGCAGAAAATCTAAAATCTGTTGGAAATCAAAATTTCCAGTGTCCCATACAATAAATGGACAGGAAGGCAGTAAAAATCCTGTAAAACATGGATACACCTTGTTCTCTAAATTAAAAAATCAAGGTAAGCAAATTGCTTTTCTTTATTTCTAAAGGTAATGATTATTTACAGAATATACCAGAAAAATTTTAAACTCAAATGGTCGCAAAAAGATCTTTATAGCCTAAATCAGCATGTCGATAGAATTTTAACTGAAAACTAAACAAGATTATTGAAAATCTGCATTTAAACAATGAAAAGAGTTTTATAAAAATTTTCTTATTTATTCTATAATTTCAAGGAGCAGTAATCATCCTCTTTATACAAATGCAAATAGAGTAAAATATGACTGAAATATGCTGCAATAATGTTAAATTCATTCTTTCAATACATTTTCAAATGTGTAATGACAATATAAGTTTTAAAAAGTTTTTATACATTAAGCAATAGTGTTTATCTCTGAAATGGTACCATTCCAAGAAACAAAGAGTAATTAAGAATTTTTGAAAACAAAAATTAGTTTTTATAGAGTACCAAAATCAAAGTTTTTATTTACACTTAGTCAGCAAAGTTTGCCAAAATCTTAAAACCAAAATTTAGGCAACAAAATAATCTAAGGCATTTAATCAAATTGAATTATAAAATAGCATTTTATACAATTCAGGTATCCATGAAACAATCTGTTCTATTTATAGACTGAGTACAGCAAATGCTGCAACCTTTTAATCTACGAGATCCTTCTCCTCCCTAAACAAGCTCTCAAGTAGAATGCTTTGGTAAAAAAAATTTAATATAATTACATAGATTGATTATACATATTTTTTTTTTTTTTTCAATGAAAGCCCTACTGTAAAAAATAATTTATGAAACATATAATTTTACAATGACAGAAAACAAATTATAATTACAAAATTGGATTAAAATTGTCTGACAATTAAATTATGAGACTGATTTTATTATGGTCAAAATGGTAAAGCAATATGTATCAAGAAAATATTCAACCTTCATCTATAACCAGACAACAATCCAATGACACTCTCTATGTAGGATAGGAAATAAGGCACAATTTTCATTAATTAGAGAATGAAGAATGTTATATACATAACAAGGAGAGAAGACAGAACATTAAATTTTGTTTTAAATGTGAGAAAAATACCACGGAGACTGAATTAATGAGACAAGCGTATAGATATACAGTCAAAAGTCGTTAATTCGGACACCCATAATCCGGAATGATCTATAATCCAACCTCAAAGCTAAAAACTTTCTGCGCATGTGGCGCGTTGACACATGCGGATAGGCGTTTACGCGTGCGCGTAAGACCTTTTACGTCTGCGCAACTGCGTGGCCGCAAGTGCAGAATACGTTTTCGCGTGCGCGTTTTATGTATAACGGATGGAATAAGCTAAAATTATCTAATTATCTATTTCAGTTAATGTTGATGATTGTGTTGTTCCTTAATTTTCGAATTGGATCCGGCTTATTATTTTTTGCAGACTGTAAGAGCAATGCTATAAAAGTAAACTTGAACTTTCGATTATATCAAATAGAATTTTCGATGCTGGAGCTCCCAAACGATCTACAAAACTAAAGTATGTTTCGATGTCCATCAAACAAAAAGTGGAATTGCTGCAAAAAACGTATAAAGACATGAAGAAGGTGACAGAGAGGTTAGTGAAAACGAAAAAAATTCGATTGACAAGTTAGTCGGTATTCTCGGCACAGCTATTTTTAGCTTTGAGGACTTGAACAGCGGAACTTGATTATGTTTAATAAGCAAAAGATATTCTTCAAACGTATCAGAAAAATAAAAAATACTCTTAAAGTGAATTGCTGCAAAAGATGAAAGATAATATCTTTGATATGATGCAACAAATAAACACCAAAGTTCTAAATAAAAGTCGACATCATCACCAAAAGAAACTCGTCTTCAAAATCAAAAGTGATTGCGATTTTGGCATTCTATGACAGCAATGCAATTACTTATTCACCATAAATTCAAGGTACAGATTGCTAACATAACTTTTTTATTCACTTATTTATTTCCTTATATTTTGAAATGCCCATGGGAAAGAATTCTCCGAGTCTAATTTAAGTATACAGCATGTGGCAGTTAAATTCTTCCTTGGGATAATATATTGGATAACTGATTGTAAAAGAACTTTTGTCAACCATCCACACTATTCAGATTCATTGTACGGTTCAGTTACTAAAACTAAAGTTATTAATGAAAGAACTCCTCTGTGATGACAATGAAGATATCACAGGACTTGTAACTTTGAATCTTTGGACAATATTACAAATTTTGCAAAGTAATTTCAGGCTTTATTAGATCATGTCAATTGCTGTACTAATTCAATAGGTATGTACTTTGAATAAAAATATCCTTCCCATTTATTTCATTATAAACTCAGTATCATTATTTAATTGTCAGACTGTGCATAAAACAACACAATTCAATCAATTTCTGTCTTAGAGTTAATAGAATTCTGTCTAAAAGTATCATACACATAATATAATCAAACAAATAAATATTGAAAAACACGATTTTATTTTAGAGACAAAATGACCACTCTGTTAAGCAAATTAAGAGCAATAACAGAAATTAAAATTTATGTCTCTCACATATGAAATTGAAACCATAGGTAAGCTTTCTGACATTTATTTTATACTTACAAATAGCAAGTACATAATTAAAAAAGATCATAAATTATGCTTTTACACCAATGCATAACAACAAACTTTCCTATTAATCCATTAACTCAAGTATCCCATTTATACAGTTTATTGCAATATGGTCAACTTTATGATCACATGCTCCATTTAGTAAAATAAAGATCAACTAATTTCCCCCATCACTTATCTAATAGAAATGAAACTTTGTAGGTTACTGCAATTATTTTAATTACAAAATAAAATAAAATAAAATCTAGTGCAACCACCTTTACAAGTCCAATTCAACTCACCTGAAATAACGAATAAACAGCTTGGGCAATTTTTATTTGTCATAATTTTATAAGCAGAAGTATACATCCTAATACTAGTCCTCTGTTAAAAAGATGCTGGATCAACCAATACTTTTGTGTGTCAAGTTTGCAGCATTTCATAAACCGACTTCGAATTCATTAGACTGATAAATATTACACAAGATTATGCTACACATAAGATGAAGTTAAAAAAAAAAAAATTTCGAAAGAAATTGAAGATGACTCTGTTAAGTCAGTAAACTGGCAGATGATGATAATTAAATTATCCACTTATCTATGATACTGATTATAATATTGTGGGTAATATGAATATAGTTACACCACAAAAAGAATAGCATGATAATAAATTATTTTAGTACAGTTTCAAAAACTTTAAAAATCAAATGAATTCGAAGGTGGATTATTAAAACACACAAAGTAGGCTCAAATATTTGAAATAAATAAATAAATAAATAAAGGTTTGTTATAGAGCATTAACAGATAAACTTAAATATCTCCAGCTCAAATATTCAACAATTTTTGAATGACATATATTTCAATAAAAAGATATCAAAAGTACTTGAAATATCACATTAAATTATTAATATTTTATTACATTAATCTGTACTATGTTTTGTAATTAATTATTGATTGTAAAAAGGTTTAATAAAAGCACTCAGATGCATTTAAATGATCTATTTATATTTTATTCCACATGATGATTTTTCTTTATTTACTATTTTAATGTTTCGCTGCTTCATCTACTAATGAAAAAAATATATTTTATATAAGTGTACAGCATCTTATATACAAAACAGTATTTTTTAAGAACTATTAATAACTTAATTAAAAATATGTGACATTGTTATTGATATTATTAAAGACAAGCCAAATTCTGAATTTCAAGTAACTGCTTAATACAAAATGTAATACGAGTATTGATGGATTAGCAGTTAAATCAAATATTAAATTGCTACAAAAAATATCACTGAAGCATTTTCCTTAATAAGTAGTTGTAGCATAATAATGTCTCACAATGCAGTTACTTCAGGTTTGGAACATAAACATGATTATTTTTTAGTGCATCAAATTTTTAAGTGTATTAAAATTCACAACTATACAAAAAATAGCAGAAATGTCACAAACAATGGTAAACAACTGTATATTGCTGCAGCAGAGAGCACCATCCAGTTGAAGGTTAATAGATGTAACACAAAGTAGTTCCAAAATAATTCTTAAATATTAACTTTCCACTCCAACTGATGTTTGCATTTGCGTGGAAGGCTCAGTCCTTAATGATGACATCTCTACATTTACAGGATCACTAGAACTGTCAGAAAAATTTCGATTGCTGCTGATCTGAGGCGAGTCCTGTTTGTCAATTTTTTTAGTCTGAAAAACCAGATAACAGAAGTCTTTTGTTAATAAAATCATATGCATAATGGCGTGCATTTAATGCTTAGAACTCATACATAGTAAGTATTTTCTTATTAGCTGAAAGCTTTAAGTTCTGAAATTTATCACAAATAATAGCAAATGTCACATAAAACAAGACAACCCTCTGTTCAGAAAATTTGTGAAAGAGTCCACATTCATGAAAATTATAACAGTTTATTTTAGCTGCTAGAGAGTATTAGTATACTCTCTTCAAAAGAATATATATCTGGTAACATATCAAATGAAGTAACATCATTTGGGACAACATAATTCACATTGTGACACAAGCTGAGTTAAAGCATCTTCGACTCAATGTTACATTTCAAGTAAAGAAGCTAAATTTCATTGATCAGAAACAGATCTCTGCAATGACACCAATGAATCCAGGAATAACAGCAAATGTGTGTTCTGGAAATGTCACTTTGAAGGTGACTACCTCCCATTTCAAACCGAACTGCAGAGGAAGCATTATCCACAAATTCTCTAAACACAGATGTAGTCATGCAATATATACAATTATATATAGTTATGGTTTAACTGATAAATTATACATGCAAAGAGATTATCAGTAATAAAAAGCAAATCATTAAGTTTTTGTGCAATATACTAAATTAAACACTGAAGTATTAATTAAAGCAATGCAAAACAGTATTCTATACTAGAGCAGGGCTTCTTAAACTTTCTTCAATCACGACTCCTTTTTATCACTGAGATTTTTTTCCTGACCGCTAGACCTAGATATTAAGGAAAATTTTGTGGGACCCCATAAAGCATTGTGCAAATTTGACACAGGCGTGAGTGAAACTGTTAATTTTTTCACTTGTACTGTTGCAGTTTTAGGTCATTAACTTTGATTTCTAATTTTAATACATAAAACAATATGAAAATTTTAAATAAGCAACAGATGAAATGGCAGTGAAAGCAAGTAAAATGAATGTTTCCTTTTCGTTTTTTCTTTGTCTGTATTGTCTTATCTTTATCTATTTTCAGATACATTGTGTAAAAATATTTGGTAACTGTAAAATTATTATAATATAATAAGTTAAAGAAATATCAAAACCACTAAAATTTTCGGCAACCTCCAGTTTAAGAAACTCTGTACTAGAGTAATATCAAACTTTTCAATGTTTGTGTAATAAGAGCATAACTGTTAATTACTTAATAATTGTAACTTAATTAATATTTATGCATAAAGATAAAAGTATATATGCAGTACAAAGTCCAAAAATCTAGAATACCAGACCTCTAAGTCTAATACTCACACTTCTTGCAATTTTTTATTTTAGAAAGGAGGACTGAGATAATACAAAAAGAAAGAAAAAAAAAAAAAAGATGTGTGTGTGCTATAAAAGAGACGGAGCACACGAGATGTCCTAAATGCTACAGAACATATCTGAAGAGCCTGGTGATGAATAGGATCTAGTTTCGATAATACAGAAGGCCATGCCGAGCCATAAACCACTGAGCCATAGTCTAATTTAGAGCGATTGTGCCCTATAATTACACAGTAGCAATTCTCGATCTGCATCCCAAGAGGTGTTCACGAAGACTTTGAGAAGATTATATAGAGATTTGAGAAAATTTAATAGAGTTTTGCAGCACTTTTTCCTCAAATATAGGACATGAGGCACAAAAGACAGCTTTTGGTCGAAAATCACTTCTAAAAATTTCACTTCAGATGTCACTGGTATTAGTGAGCGTTCAAGGTAAAGCTTAGGCTCAGGATGAAGATTTCGTTTTCTACAGAAGTGCATACAAACAGTCTTCTTCTATTTCTAAAAACCAAATCCATGTCTGGATCCTTTTCAGAGCAATTTGCATCTGTCACTCCACATATCTCCTATCTGCACCCTGACAACTGATCTGCAAGTCATCAACATACAATGAACTCGAGACTGTAGGAGGAAGTTTCTTTAAAACAGAATTTATTTTCAAGTTGAACAAAGTAACACTTTAAATCCACTCTTGAGGCATACCCTCTTCCTGTTTGAAACTGTCTGACAAAACAGAACCAATCCTTACTTGAAAGGTTCTATCCCTAAAAATATTTTGAATGAAGATTGGCAAGTTGCAGCGCAAGCCACTGGCATGAACATCTCATAAAATACCGTACTGCCATGTCTCATCGTAAGCCTTCTCGATGTCAAAGAAAACTGATAAGAGGTGGTTTCTCTTGACAAAGGCTTTCCGGATGCAAGTTTCCAGAAGAAGGATATTATCAGTTGTCGTTCTACATTTGCGGAAACCACTTTATGAGGAAATTACATTGTTTCTTTCCAAGACTAAGCGATGGCTTACCATTTTTTCCCAGTGCTCTGCACATGCCACTCGTAAGAGCATTTGGCTGATAGTTAGAAGGATTCTTCGGGTCCTTCCCAGGTTTAGCTATGGGAATGACTACAGCTTTCTTCCATGCACTGGGAAAGGTATGCTCCTTCCACACTAAATTGTAAAGAGTGAGAAGGGCAGCCAACAACTTACAGGAGAGATGCTTCAGCATTTCATAGTTGACACCATCTGGACCCGGACTGGTCCTGTGTGCATCCAATAATGCTCTCTTCAATTCAACTATAGTAAAATTGCCATTATAAGGCTCCAAGTTGGAAGAATTAAATACAAGGGGAGCTTTTTTCAAGTGACGCTTGGCAGAAAGAAAAGCAGGCAAGTAGTTGCTGCCGTTTGAAACAGTAGCAAAGACGTCATCAATGGTATTTGCTTTTTCGTTTGCAGTGCTAATCATATGGCTGTCTTTTTCCCGAAAGGAAAAAGATTGGTCTTCATACAACTCACATGCATTTCTCTTTCCCATACTCATTTATTAGATACACAGGATGAAATTCCAGATGCATAAGACATCCATGAATCTCTTTGGCTCTTATGCCTAACTTTCCTTGCATGTGCTTTTGCTTTTTTGAAGGCTAGAAGGTTTGACAATGTGGGATATCGAGGAAAGATACCCCCAGGCTTTTCTTTGTCTTCTGAGAACTTCTTGGTAATCCCTGTTCCACCATGATTTGAAAATTTTGGTAACCTTGTTGATGTATACCACAGGTAAACAACCGTATCAGTAAAAGCTTTCACAGCATCATAGATAGGCACATCTCTTTTACCATTTCTTCTGTGATATCTGCAAGGCAGAAGAAGAGTTTACAGTCTGCCTTATCAAATATAAATTGAGGGGATCTTGACAAGGGAGTCACTCTTTCTCGAGCAAGAGATATAAAATCGGGAAGTGATCTCTATTAAAGATCATTTCCTACACTAAATGTGCATAAAGGCAACAGTGATGGTGAGCAGATTGCAAGATCGAGTGCGTGAAATGTTCTTGTGAGTTCATGGAAGTAGGTATCCTATCCATTATTGAGCAGACAAAGGCAATGATCTACGATCATTTGCGCAATTTGTCTTCCTCGAGGATTTGTGTCCTTACTTTCCCAAAGCAGACTATGGGCATTAAAGTCACTTCACATGATAAAAGGTTCAGGCAGCTGACCTATTAAGTCATCTAAATTTCGTTGATCAATATGCTCGTTTGGAGGAAAATAGACAGCACAAACTGAAACCAGAAACTTTATATTTATTTGAATGCAAACAGTTTGAATGCTTGTTCTTAAAGAAAATGAATTGGAATTGGAGGGGTAATCAAGTGAAGTGAGGAGACCAACACCTCCACTTGCATGCTCACCTACAAGATTGTCTTTCCTGATAATCTTGACGGTGCTGTGTTTTTGTCTTTCGTGCAAGCAGGTGTCTTGGAATATGAAGTCCCTCTTCCACATCCATATCAGAGTTTACCTCTTCTGAACTAATGCTCCCAAAGGAGCTCGCGCTCAGATTTCTCGGAAGTACTGAGACTTTCTTTTTCTCATTTTCATTTTCCAGTTGGTCGTTCTTAGTTTCTTTATTATTGGGGTTTTTAGGTGTTATGATGATATTATAGACTGGCTGTTTATTTTCTGCAGATATTATCATTTGTGTCCCTATGGATTTAACAGATTTTATAACATTCGCATATGACTTCTTGTCTGGCTGCGACTACAATTCTTCTCGCCTCTGAATATAAAATATTTTTTGTTACTTTGACAGTTTTGTCGTCTTTTTCAGATTTCCATTTTGGGCAAAGTTGAGAGAATGCAGTATGTTCCCCTTTACAGTTTGCACATAGTGGTGGGGCATTGCAGTTTTCGCTGCCGTGGCCTTCCACAGAGCAGCATGCACACATGACTTTCCCACGACAGGAAATTTTCGAATGGCCGAAATGTTGGCACTGAAAGCAATGTAGGGGGTTTGGTACATAAGGTCTTACAGGGCAGTGTAAGTATCCAGTCTTAATACTTTTAGGCAGATCAGGCAACTTAAAGGTCAGGATTATATGCTTTGTATCAATCAACTGACCTTCTTATGCACCTTGATTCGCCTGGCAGCACACACATTTTGCTTATACAACTCAGAGACTGTTGCCTCTTCTGAAACAAAAAGGAGGTCTCTGAGATAACACTTTGAGAAAAATTGAGTGTTTTATGAGCTGACACTTTAGTATTCATTTGCCCAAGTTTGTTCAATCCAAGAAGTGTTGCAGATTGAGCAGAAGAAACAGTTTGAACTAGAAGATCTCCAGAGTGCAGCTGTTTGATATTCTTTGGCTCTCCGATGCAAGCTTGAACATATTTTTGAATTAAAAATGGAGACAGCTTCTGGAGATCACCTGTAGAGTTCTTAATGACCAGAAAACTTGTTAGACTTGCAGAATTTACATCAAGATTGGCATTATCACTTGTTTTGACTTTTTTAGAGGTATAATTGTGTTCATTTGAAGTATGTAAATTTGACTGAGCCATAACTGAAAGAAATAAAGATTTGGGTCCGACCGCCCCACCCACCATGGAGCCCAACAAGGGAACGCAGATTCCTGTATTAGGGCTAGCTAGACCTATATGCAAACTTAAGCCCCACAGTCAGCTTTCCCGAAAGCTTATTCTCCAAGCCACCGACCGCAAGGACTAGTGACCAGCCGATTGACACCCGTGAGGATGATAAGGTGTGACCAGTTTAGCTGAAGCAGAGGCCAAAGCAGTGTGTTGGGGACAGTACCTTACCCCTACAATTAGGGCCTTACTACTAGGACCCTTCTTTTCAGCAACACAGGTCTCCACGCACGGCAAACACGTGGGCAGTTTCCTCACCATTCAAAAACTACAGTCAAGGGCTGTTCCAGTTTCTCATGACAAGCCCCAACCTCCGAAGAGGAAAACCACAAGGGAGAATGGAAAGAAAAAAAAGCTTCAGCTCAGAGGAGACGGAAAAGAGGATAGATCACTGCCGCTCCAGGATCATGACACCCGTCTCACCAAGAAGATGATCCTCTGAAGGGCTAGGGTACCTCGGAATTGCCCCACCCATACTCACAAAAGTAAGCCCCTGAGGGAGGGGGTTAGGTGTGGTACTTTCTCATAAACTCCCTGATGGAACTGTAAGGGCAATTGCATTTGCTTTCACAATACTTAAAGAAACAAAAAAAATATTCTCAAACTGATAATGAAGTCTTGTCAATCATTTGAAAAAAAAAAGAAAAAAAAAAAAAAAAAAAACCTGTACTTAAAAGGCAGGAATTTTATGTTATAGGATATTGAAAATACTTCTAAAACCTATTTTGAATGCGCAAAAATACATTAGATCTTCCAAAGGTAAAGGTCCATCATTGGAAGTACCTGAGAGCTCCAATGAAACATATTCACATCGATTATGTAGGACATATTTTTGATAACAGTCGATGCTCACTCAAAATGGCTAGAAGCCTACCCAATGAAATCAAGCTCAACGTTCAAAACAATAGAATGTTTATGGGACATTTTGCATGAATTGAATTACCAATATTGTTAGTGAGTGCCACAATTCACACAGCAGAATTCACACAATTAACAGGCCATAATTAATTTCAGGTGAGTTTAAGATATTCCTACGAAGTAATAGAATCAAACACAAAATCACAGCACCATTTAAGCCATCTAGTAACGGGCAGGCTAAATGGTATGTGTTCACAGTAAAGCAATCCTTACGAACCATGCAAAATTATCCCAGAACTCAGAGACAAAAACTCTATACAATTTTTAATGCAATACATAAAGGCTCCGAACTTAACTACTCTACACAGCCCTGCAGTGCTAATGCTGAAGAGGGAAACTGGAACAAAAATTGACATGTTGAAACCAGATATCAAAAGGAGGGTGGAAGAGCGAGTTTGAAAAGGAACTATGGGTTCATAGACCAAGGATTTACAGTTGGTGATAAAGTGGCAATAAGAAATTATTGCCAGGGCAACAGGCGACGGAAATTTGGGACTGTCCAAACCAAGAATGGACACCTACATTACACTATACATGTAGACGGTCAGCTATGCCGGTGACTAAATGAGTGATAGAGGAACCATTAATCATGATAGCTGCATAAGTCATCCTTCAGCTTTTGCGATTTTCAAAGAAGCTGATAAGAGTGGAGTCCTAGAACCATCCAAAGATATAGCCACCAGGTAAATGAGTCCGTGCCATCTTCCGATTCCAAGGTTTAACAGGGAGTTCCATCCACTGAACCTGATACAACCAGGTTGCCAAAGACATCAGCTATGCCACAAGCTTTGTGTCAGTTCACCAGTAACCTACGACCTCTAAACAGACTAAATTTATGATAAAGGGGCAGAGATGTGCTGTTCAAGTTTACAAGACTCAATGTTTATTAAGCAGGAAGAGACTCTGAAAGTTGGCCGTGGAGTTGCATGCGTTTATGTGCAGTGAGGTTTTTTTTTTTTTTTTTGGGTATAAAAGTATAAAATAAAGTACCTTGTACACTGAATAAAGTGTCTTGTGAAATAAATATATGATGAAAAACACAATGAAAGGTATCATCAATCATCTTCAAGATTTCAGATATGTCAGAAACTACAATTTTATGTATCAGAACCCTTCAGAATTTTAAAGCATGAGGCAAAATATGGTATGTAAAAAAATTCTTAGATGGAGAATTCTCATGGCTACTCGAAAAGCTTATTGAAGTAACCTTTTTAAAAAGCCTTAATGTTGAGGTCATTAAATAGGGGGATTAAGAACACAGAGAAAAACTGTAAAGTGATAGAAACAGGTAAATGTGTTGCAGCATCTGCTGTGTTTTCTGTTGTTGTAATGATGACTGAAAGGAGTAATAATATGCTCTACTTTCAGAAATGAACAAATTAATCTCAAAATTCCAGTGATAGGAATTTGGAATATGTTAATACCTGACTGCAAATGATTCAAGCATTTAACAACAATAGTGGAGATGTCCTTGACAGTGATTTACCTCCACTTACTTTTTATGTTGAGTAAAAGAAACTAATACAAATAACTTTTTCAATAAACTTTAATTATTTTTTTCTCTTCATTTAATTTAAATAATGTTAATGGATGATGCATGCTGAAATCTTTACTGTGCACTTAGAACAGTATCTTTACTTAGGACAAGTAAGATATTGTACAGTCGTAATATTTTCCCGATATAAAATGTTTTGCATATGTTTTCTTTAATCGTATTAGCTTTTATTATTTCTGTAAATGAACAGCAGATCAAAAGCTTTTAAAAATTGCACAGTACACAAATCTCAAAATACTAGATTAGATAAAAGAAAAACTCAGAAGTTTAATATAAACTGTTTTGCATACGTTTTCTTTAACCACATTAGCTTTTATTATTCCTGTAAATGAACACCAGCTCAAAAGCTTTTAAAAATGGCACAGTACAAATCTCAAAATACTAGATTAGATAAAAGGAAAACTCAGAAGCCCTCCTATTAATTTTGATAAATATTTAACAACTTAAAAAAAATCTTAATAATTTAAAAAAAAAATGTTAAATGAAAGCAGACAGAATTAACTCTGTGACCAAATATTTGGCTCCAAAACCTAAATTTCTAGAAAACACTAGAGGTATTTATTTTCTTCATGTGAATTACAAAACACTGCTTCTATTTTACACTTGGACACATTGCATTAATTATTTCAATGGATTATGATATGTATGCAAATGCATTTAAAAGTCTAAACTGTTGGGGATGGACAGACAATAAAAGGACATAATGCAGCTTTATTATTACTGGTTGTTTAAAGTTTCAATATAAATACTATTCAGTTAATGACATCATTTTTACTTTTGCTGTTATGTATGTGGGTCAGTTACACTACATGAGAACCATAATATGGCAGGCATTAATTTTGGAATGGCACCTTCAAAAAGACTAATTACAAATATGCTTCAATTTTTAGACTAGAAAGGGAAGATAGTTAAATTAAAAAGAATACTTTAGGTGAAATTGCAAATTAAAATTTTATCTTACACTCATATGCATATCATGTAAAAGAATATATTTGAAAGGCAGGTGTCTTACTATTTGATTATATAAATTGATGCAAACTAAATTAATTTTCATGGGATATACTGCTGAAACATTTCTTTACTGGATTTTTTTTGCTAAAGACAGTGAGTTACAGAGAATTTTTTGAGTGTTCCCTAAGCAAATTTTCAGTCTTCTACCCACTGCAGATGGCCAATGCATGATAGAAGACCATACTTTAATTACATAAGCAAACCTCCTTTCTCATCTACAAATGGTTAATTAACAGAAATCAAAAGGCAAAATATTTCTAGGTAACTTACCTCTCGCTCAGGAGGTGGCAAAATGGGAATAGCTGCTTTAGGTCTCTTTTGAACAGTTGGCCTGATAGGAGGTGGTTGACTGGGTGGATAATAATAAGTAATTCCAGTCTGAAACATATCACTTGGAGGTGCCTAGAGACAATTAATATATATATAATTAACCACATCATTCATATTAACTTTTCAGGGGGAGGAGCACTTTTGACTTACTATACAAATATAAATATTACAGATTTTGCTCAAATTTTATAATACAATATTAAGGGAGTAAAATAATAGAAATCTGCATTTAAACTCAAAACTGTCTGTGACAAAAGTGATTACATTCAATTTTTGAATACACTCTGTTTGACATTTCTTTAGTAGAAAACAGGACTTTTTATTTATAATATTTTTGCCATATTATTTGACATACTCAGAAGTATTGATGTCATATATGATACACAATTTGGACGTAAATTTTGCTGCATAAAAAATGAAGTAAAATAGCTGATGATAAAATGGCAAAGGTGAGAACTTGCTCTTACAAAACAAACAAAATAAATTAATAAATAATAAAAATAATAAATAAATAAATTTGGAAAACTCTGATTAATAATTTTTGTTACTTTTAAAAAATAGCTTTTCATACATTATTAATAAATACACTTATTATGCATCATTAACCCTTTGCACTCGGGGCCTTTTCCATGCAGTGCACCAGATACTCGACACGTTTCACAGCCCTTATTGACCCATTTCTTACCAAATCACTATACACACAAATTAATGTATAAAATTTTTACATTTTAACATTTTATATAGAGAGTCACATCTCGACTGCAAACGTTAATAAAAATGAGAATAAAGATATTTCATATGAACAATCCTCAATAAAAGCTTATATAGAAATTTAAGACTCAAAATAACTTGCAATTCACTTAAGATTGTGAAAAAGAGAAAAAGAGGTAAATCACATCTGACATTATTGCTTAAGCCAAATTTCAAAAGCTCTTATTTTTTTTTAAGGTATGCATAGAAATACATCTACTTTGTGATAAAAAAAAACTTTACAGGTTATAATTCAAGCTTTTTTTTGGATTTATAAAAAATTATATAAATACAAATTTTTTTAATAAACCAGAAAAAAAAAAATGGTTTGAATTTAATTTGGATAAACCTAAATCTGGAACTATGAAAGAAAAAATTAAATAAGTTTAATTACAAAATCAAAATTCTCAAAATATATGCCAAATTCAGTTAACATAGCAGGGTTAAAGTTTTGATTGCTAAATTTAAAAAAAAAAAAAAAAAAGTTTCTATGATTTTTTACAAAACTTGTGCTTTGGCATAATTTGAAGAGTAGAATCGAAGTATGGAAAAAACTGACAAAGCATTTCAGAAAAAATCCAGATTTGTGTCAAAATGCATATACTAGAATAATGCTTTCTCTTTGAAGACATGAAAAAAGAAAGTTGAATTTCATTAAAAGGAAATGTAAAATCGGAAATACAGAAATGTCTCCCTTTTTTCAGTCAATGCATGTCTGTTGATAAAGAAGAAAATAAAGTTTAATCATTTTGGTAAAATGTTAAGAATTGCATTATAGCTTTAGCTAAGGGGGGGGGCAAGGCAAAGCAAGTGAAAAAGCAAGTTTTTTAGGCAATAATTTAGTCTTTAATTGCTCTTATCACCATATAAAAAGACTTGGAGTCCTTATTTTAACAAACCCTTATCAATACTGTAGACACAAAATGTAACATCTACCTGCATCTGAAAAGCACGTTCTTCAGCTATCTCTGATTTGTGAATTTCACTGGTAACATTTTAAGTACAGAACAGAGATAACCAACCCATGATACACATGCAGCCAGCCCTATAAAATTTTGTGGCCTGTACTGGCACAACTTATGTCTGTGAATCTTTTTCCAAAAAGGAAAGGCATCCTTAACTGACGAAAATCTGTGACATCAGTTATGATGTGCTAATACAAGTATTCAGATTGACTTGAAAAAGCTAACTGAAAGAAAAACTCAAAATGGGTTGGACGAGGGATACTCAGGAGGCTTTCAAAACAGTAAAAAAGAAAGGAGTTTGCAAAACATTTTGATGCATTAATGATTCAAAATTACCCTTAAATTGGCAACCGATGCATCACCAGTGGGATTTGGTGCAGTACTTTCTCACAAACTTCCTGTTGGAACAGAAAGGTAAATTGCATATGCCTTTAGAACACTGACTGAAATGGAGAAAAAGTGTTCTCAAACTTATAAAGAAGCATTGTCAATTATTTAGGAAACTAAAAAAACTTTTCTGTACTTAGAAGCAGGAAATTCATGTTAATTACAGATCATAAACCTCTTGTTGCAATTTTTGGCTCAAAGAAAGGCATGCCAGTTTTGGCAGCAACAAGACTCATACACTAAGCCTTGGCTTTACAGTCATTCAAATTCAACATTATTTACCGCAAAACAAGGTAATGCTGACTTTCTGTCACGATTACCAACAAACTCAGAGCAAGTTCCTATACAGGATGATCTAAATCTTTTTCAATTACAGCAGATTAAAACACTTCCAATCATTGCCAGAGATTTGACTAAAGAAACTGAAATTGATGCAGAACTCAGCCCTCTGCAACAAATATTTCAAAGCAGTAGTGAATTGAAAGGAAGGCAGTTCAAAGCAGTAGTGAATTGAAAGAAAGGCAGATGGCAGAGTCTCCAAGATGGCTGTATAATGTATGCCAGCAAATAATATAATGTATTCCAAAACGATACCGAGAGAATGTTTTGAAAAAGTTGCAAGATGGACACTTTGGTACTGTAGAGATGAAAGTAATTGCTAAATCTTACGCATTTTGAAATGGTAAAGATAAGGGATATCGAAAATAGCTTCTAAAAACTAATGAATGTGCAAAACATAAAACAGATCCTCTGAAGGTAAAGGTTCATCATTAGGAATACCTGAGCAATAATGGAATGTATTCACACTGACTATACAGGACCTATTTTTGGGTGTATGTTTTTGATAATTGTCGATGCTCACTCAAAATGGTTAGAAGCCTACCCAATGAAATTAAGTTCAACTTTCAAAACAATAGAATGTTTATGGGACTTTTTTGGATGAATTACCAATATTGTTAGTGAATGAAGTGAGTTTAAGATATTCTTACAAAGTAATGGAATCAAATAAACAAACAAAACAAAACAAAAAACCACAGAGCCATTTAAACCATCTAGTATGGGTAGGCTGAATGGTATGTGTTTACAGTAATGCAATCTTTAAGAATCATACAAAATTATCCCAGATTTCTGAGACAAAACTCAGTACATTTTTAATGCAATATAGAAAAGCTCTGAATGTAACTACTCTACAGAGCCCTGCAGTGCTGTTGCTGAAGAGGGAAATTTGAAACAAGAATAGACTTATTGAGACCAGATCTTAAAAGGAGAGTGGAAAACAGAGTTCGAAAAGGAACCTACGAGTTCGCAGACCGAGGATTTAGTGTTGGCGATAAAGTGGCTATATGAAATTATCACCAGGGTGATAGACGAGAGAGATTGGGAACCGTCCAATCCTAGGATGGACAGCTTCATTACACTATAAATGTAGATGGTCAGCTGTAGTGGCGAAATGTCGACCAGATGCATGATGATGGAACCATAATTGATGATGGTTGCATACGACACCCGTAGCTCTCTTCCAAAGAGCCTGATATGTGTGGATTTCCAGAACCATCCAAAGATAATAGCCACCAGATAGATGAGTATATGTTGTCTTCCAAGCCCACCATTTCACCGGATGTTCCATTTACCAAACCTGCTGCTGATACAACCTGGTTACCAAAAAAACCAGCTGTGCCACAACCTTTGCGTTGGTCCACCATAATTTGATGAACCCTCAAATAGACTGAACTTGAGATAAAGGGGGAGGGATGTGGTATATCAAGAACTTAATTGTAATTGAACTTAGACTTGGTGCTTGCCAAGCAGCGCCAAATACTTGGGAGTTGTATGTGTGTATGTGAGTTATGATGTGTTTTGTATATAAATAAAGTGTCCTGTAAAATAAATACAGTCAAAAGTCGTTAATGCGGACTCGTCGGGACTTCGGCGATTCCGGATTATCGATTTTTCCAGATTATAGATCATCAGTTTAAATCTGGTAAGATGGCATGCGGAAATTATAAAATTAAAAATATGAAACCGTAATTTATGAAATAAAGAACAATTATGATCTAAAGGGTATCAAAATTTACAAAAAAAAAAAAAAGCTTAATATTTATTTGTTTTACTTTATTAAACATTTCTTTTAATGTAAGTTGTTTAAGTTGCTTCGTTTTTTATGTGATAATACATTCTCTTTAATTCTATAAACAACATAATTTCTTGTTCAGTTACAAAGTTCTGCTGTTCAAGTCCTATAATTGCTGTGGTCGAAGATACCGACTAATTTGTCAATCGAAATTTTTTTCGTTTTCAATAACCTCTGTCACTTTCTTCGCTATCGGAAGCGAATTATAATGACGAGGAATTGGTTTAAATCATATATCAAAGACCGATTACATCGAGATGAAATACTACATTTAGTAAGGAATTATAAGCCAAATAAATAAAACAAACTGCCCTGAGATAAGGATAGTGCTGACAGATCAACTTCCAATTCATTGCGCGCCGCGGCGTTAAAGATAAACAAAGTTTAGATAAACAAAGAATATGCCTTTATCCATTTTTTGCAGCAATTCCACTTTTTGTTTATGGACTTCGAAACATACTTTCGCTTTGTAGATCCGTTACATATAGCCGAATCCAATTCGAAGATTAAGGAACAACGCAATCTGCAACATTAACTGAATTAGATAATTTTAGCTTAGCTTATACCGTCTGTTATACATTAAACGTACATTCGTAAATGTATTTTGCGCACGCGCACACGCATATTCGCAGCCGTAAAGGTCTTACACGCATGCGCAGAAAGATTGTAGCTTTGAGGTCCGGATTATGGGTGTCCAAATTAACGACTTTTGACTGTAGTGTCTTGTGCTGCAAATACATTATAAAGATATAACAAGCTTCCATCACTTCTTAAGAAAATTGGAGCATTTTGTAACAAAACAGAGTAATTGCTTTAGTCCTTCTATATGCAATTTTTTTTTCTATGGTTAAAGTGGAGCAACAATGATGACTGAAATAAAGAATTCACATGGTTAGCACAAGCAATTAGAATACTGTGATTCACTAGAAATGAAGAGAATAAAAAGTCTGCAATTGTAATAGAACTGTCTTCTCTTTTTTTTTTTTTTTTTTTTTATGAAAAATTAAGATGCTGCCTTTAAAGCAAATTTGTTTTCAATTAGTCCCGGTATTTGATACATTGCACGAGCTACCTGCAGTTGTCATAACTGCCTGACTGAAAATTCACCATTGCACAAGAATACAATGATTTCTGAAAATTTTACATAAAGTAAACATGGCTGCTCTTTACCACAAATTTTTGCCTCTTTAAAGTGACATGATAAGTGTATTTATCAAAACAGTTTTTAATATAAATATATATAAAAATCGTGTACGCATTTACAGATTCAACAAGTTAAAGTTTGACATAGCTCATGTGACATTTGCATGCAAGGTCTATGCAATGGATGAGTTGATCTGACATATTGATCGTAACATCACTGTAACTGTTGGCGCTGATATGATATATGACATATCGGTACAACCATAAGCTTTGATTTTTCACTTTAAAAATGTGCATAGCAAAATTATGCTATTCAAACTCGGTATTTTCCATAACACTTTTTTCACATCCCATAATCACATCACAGTAGAATCAGTAATAATTATAGAAAATCTGTTATAGTTGGTATCTCTATTTTTATCACAGCGGTTTTTCTTTCTGATGAAATAATTATCTTTAGGATCCTTCTGAATCTGTCAATAAGTCTGCTTTCCTCTCACGATTAAATCTTACAGGTACTTCAGGTAGTTTTTGCCATGAATATTGTATGCTGTCATGTCTTCAAACATAGTACTTCTCAATACCTGCAATAATTTTGTAACTGAGGTTATAGATGCACTAATTAGCTGGGCACAAAAAACCTGACTTGTTAAGAATTCAGTCAAGTTAGTTATTTTTCTTTACTAGGAACCAAACTTTACAAACCATAACTGAAATTCGCAATTTTACACTGCCTTAACAATGGGAGAAAAATAATCACATGAAAAAGAAAAGAGAAGACTACTTTTACAGTTTACTGCGCAATCAATAAAAACAAAATTAGCATTTTTAAAGCATAATGTTTCCTTTATTTTGGACAACCCTATATTTGTACATGTATAATGTTTTACACACGTTTTCATATAGGTAGCAGATAATATTTACTCAAACATGCTATTTATGCATTTGTATATATGTCATATTTTCTAGCAGATAGTGGGGAAAAAAGTTAAGATTATGGCTTTGACTGATTACAGCTTCTGCTATTACCTTACATCTATTGCTACAATAATTCTGTGATTCACTAGAAATGAAGAGAATAAAAAGTCTGCAATTGTAATAGAACTGTCTTCTTTTTTTTTTATGAAAAATTAAGATGCTGCCTTTAAAGCAAATTTGTTTTCAATTAGTCCCGGTATTTGATACATTGCACGAGCTACCTGCAGTTGTCATAACTGCCTGACTGAAAATTCACCATTGCACAAGAATACAATGATTTCTGAAAATTTTAAAGTAAACATGGCTGATATATAAGACAACTATGGTATACAAGTTATCTCCAGTTCTTGTATTACAATTATAAGCCATACATCAAGAACAGAGCTGAAATTTGAAATATTTGTTGATCTATACTTTTATCTAGCCCAACAACTACCTACATAAAAAATTTTATGTTGATTACTAAACTGATGCTTGCATAAGTAAAAGGAGAATGGATACTGCATTTCTCTTTTATATATTTGTAGAATTTAAGTGCAAAGTAATGCCTATGATTTTCCATTCTGAACTAAAATCTCTACAGTCCGTTAATGGTATAAGTAAACCTATATTTAAATTTTATCACTCATCAAATGTGTGATGTATCTCTACAATGAAGTTTTTCAGCTATTAAAAATTATATTACTACAGTAAGATTTGATAGAGAAAAATGGATTCATTAAACACACTTTAAGTGGTTATTGCATTGCTATCTTAACAATTAATCAAATTTATAATACACATATAATATTGCAGTAAGTTATTAAAATAAATCCTTTTTTTTTACATATATTACATTCACACATCAAATTTGTCAAAAAAATATTAATTTGCAGAATGCAGACACACTCTGAATATTCTTGTGAAATGCATACACATTCTGAATATTCATCCTAGAAAAAATAATAATAAACTAATTCTTTTTAACTTGTAGAAGGTTAATATAAGCAAAGTTTTCTTAAAAAATTTAGCAAAAAAATGTGTTTTCATTGTTATTAAGAAACCATCCTAATCTTGTAATTGTTAATTTTAATTTTATGCAAAATACAAATCACAGTATAATACTTCATTCATTATTATTAGTGCATGCACATACCATAAATATACTTGCAATACAAGTTAATTTAGATCTTAATGTAATTTTGCAATTAACTGACTGAAAATATTTTGAAAAACAAATATAAAGCACGTGTGCTCTAGCAGGAAAGAATTTTAAACCAACATGCAACAAATTAATTCTCTCTCACGTGCAAAATTAGTTCACTAAATTTAAAATATCAAAAATTCTCCACTGTATAGAAAATAAAAATAATGTAACTCAGTATTTTATGCAATATGTAATTTTTAGTATATATATATATTAATGAATTTCATAATTTTCAATTAATTTTTTAATAAACTTCTCAAGTATGAAATTACAAGTGCCAATGTGACACCACATGTTGATGTACTTTCCTTGTTTCATACAGAGATTTAATAAATACTTTCATGAGTATCTTTAGAGAAAACTCTAATGAAATAATTTTAGCTTCTTACAAACAACATAAATGGCTTTCTTCAATTATAAAGTCCAGTACAAAAAGTGTTTAATCAATAATAAAGAAAATCGCATCAGAAAAGCAGATTTAATTCATACATAATGACTTCTCTACATTACTCTTTTTATCTTATTTGCACATAAAGATTTTATTTTAATTAATATGAATGTAAAATTTAATGTATTATTTACATAAGCTAAAAAACTATTTTTCAAAACTGAGAATTGTAAAATGAACCCCGCTTCCAAACTGAACTATTACATTTCTGTATCATATGTGTATCCATTATCAAAAATAAAATTTATTATCATGTTCCATTCATGTATTCTAAGCCAAAAAGCTGAACCTGTGGAAGCATCTCAAAGAATGTAACATGAAACAAGAATTTCTCTAGTGTGCTCAATAACTTACAGGGGCTGGACAAAAATATGAAAACATCTCATAAAATGCATGTTTGAACTGCATGTTTTACAAAAGCTGTTAGTGGCACTGATTTGTTTGCTCACTAACGTCACCTGTACGATAGAGTGTCATTCGTTATCGAGACAATGTTTTGTACAACTGTGAATGCATTATGCTGAAGCTAAATGAACTCAAATGTAAAGCAGCATAAGCAGGGTCAGGATAAGCATACCCTCCATAAGCAGGGTATTTTGGTGGAAGTTGCAATTCAAAAGCCACTTATCAGTGATCAAAATGCCTGTAAGAGGAGAAAGTGGTGCCAAAGTCATAAAACCTGGACTGTAGAGCAATTGAAGACTGTCATTTGGTAAGATAAGTCTTGCTTCACGTTGTTTTTGACTTTGAGTTTACATGTGGCGAATGCTGTTCCAAGCACATGACAGAGACTGTTTGCTGCTGAGAATGAAACATGGCAGGGGTTCAGTCATGGCTTGCGAGGCTATATCATGGTATTCCATGGAACCCATCATCACTATGCAAGGTCACATTACTGCCAAGGATTATGCGACCACTGATAATGTCCATCCCATGGATACAAATTTTGTTCCCCAATAGTAATGCTGTATTCCAAGACAACAGAGCTCTTGTTCAATCAGCGCACAATGTCCAGGACTGGTTTTCCAAGCATGAGGATGAACTTTCACATCTACCATGACACCACAGTCACCAGATATCAATACTGTTGAGCCTTTGTGGTCTATTTTGGAGAGAAATCTGTGTGAGCATTATCCACCGCCATCATCGTTTACTAAACTTGTCCAAATTTCTACAGGAAGAATGGTACAAGATTCCCTTGCAAAGGATACAAGACTTCTATTTATTCATTCCGAGAAGACTGCAAGCTGTTTCGAATGCCATCAGTTTTCCAACACTCTATGTATTAGTCTCAATAATATGTTTTTATTACGGTGTTCCCATATTTTTGTCCAACCTCTGAAATTCTTTCTTTATGAAATTTTAAAATGTACCATTTCATAATTCACATAATTATCTTACAGAAAGTGTTTTGGATATAGCCACTTACTGGTGGAGGAGGTGGTGGTGGTGTTGCATACTGTTGATATGCAAACTGATGATAACCTGCTGGTGGGGGTGGAGGAGCAAAATTCATTATGCTTGGGCTTGGTGTTATGCATGGTGGTGGAGCCAAGATTGGCTGGCCAGCTGGAACTGTCACTTGAGGAAATAATCTAGGAGGAGTTGTGACGGGCAGTCGTATACCTTATTATACATAAATGGTATTAATCAAATTTAATATCACATTAATGTATGCATTCAAAATTATATCAGATTCTATTCATTAATTTATTAACAATATCACATTTAGTTAACTAACTGCAAGTAAATCTACAGTTATGTATACATGGAATGCTCAAGTGGCTAGCAAAGAGCACAAATACAATTCTAAAAGCAAACACAATGAACAGTGAGGCATTAGAGGACTTGTTTTTAAAACAAATTCACAATTTTTCAGATTTATACAATCAAGTAATATGTACACGCAAGAAACAGGCACAAGTTTAATAAATTCAATGAACTCAATCCAGTTAAAAGGCAAAGATAAAAAGAAATCAATTAATCAAGTAAATTTTTCTTTAACTCCAATAAAGAGGCTTGATACATTTCAGCAGAATATGACAAGGTTTTCTATCTTCAAAAGCAATTTATATGTCATCTTTCCAAATGAATCAGACATATTTAATTGACACTAATGACTAACAAAAGTTGAATTTTATTAAAACGTCTTTTATCCATTAAAACAGTCAAAATACTTAACTATTAAAACTATCATGCCACAGCCAGAAAGGAAAACACATGAAAGCAAGAGCAGCTGGAAAGTGCCTAGCCTTGTATCGCAGAGACTGCTATATCGAATAAGGCAATTCTGAGTAATTAACAGAGCTACTATACCAAAAATAACATATGCAGCTACATAAGCAGTATTCCTCATATTTTGTTTTCAACAATGCTACTAGTTTAATGCTAAAAAGAAAAAAAAAAAAGTGATCCTAGGCTTTATTATGTTTTTGCATGATTTATCGCTCAAATATTAAAATGAGATTATTCAATTTAAAAGTTACCAAAATTAGCATTTCTCTAGATGAAATATTACTTTTAGCGTACTGCTTGCAGTGCAATTACAAAGGCATCATTTTGCTGATATTTTATCCTTTTATTTTCCTTTTCATAACATCTTTTAAAGATTTTACTAAAAACTGTTTATCCCACCTATAAATTGAAAAGATATACAAGAAATTATGCATTGCTTATACATATTAAAATAAATTTTCAATGGAAATAATAAATAATATTTGATATAAACAAAAGATTAGAAACTTATGCCAGCCTATTTTCCTACCCAATGTAATGAATTTAAATTAAATCTATAGCACATTTTTAAATAAATCACTATTTGTCTTGCAAGGAATTCAAACAAGTATTGTACTAAATTATTGTGAATTTTTTTGTATGTGAAAATATTACCATAGCAAGAATCCACTTATAATTTAGAATTTCGGAGTCCTAACGGAGTATTTTTAGTGGAGATTCCCACCCTCACTTTAGACTAGCTTTTCAGACAGTTAATGTTTCAAAACATTTGCAAAACAACTTTTCCTACTAGGTCATATTCCATCACATATCATATAAGTGGAACTTCAGAAATTATTCCAGCATTATGTTGTTGCATGACACTTTTTAAAGAACAGAAACGTTTTACATTACTGCTCCCAGAATGCTTTTATAAGCAAATAGAAATAGCATGTACCCAATCTAAACTAGAAAAGAGACTTGGTGCAAAGATCACATGTATTGTAAACTGTAAACATAACAAAGAAGTTTAGTGGAGGAAGATGGGATTTAAGTTACACAGGTATAAAGCATAAGGATAAGTGACAAAGATGAATAAAATACATTAACACAAGCAAATGCAATGATACAGTGGCTTATATTAGGCTTTAAAATTACTGAGCATAAAAATTAGTGCTTTTTTTTTTTTTTTTTTTTTTTACTGCAAACTATAAATAACAAAGCATTTGTTTGTTTGTTTATTTTGTGCTATGATATAAACCCTATATACTTTGAATATATACTTGGTACACTATTAAATATTATTTGCTAAAAATAGGTTCAGCTTGTTATTCTTGAAAACACTAAAAAATTCTATTACACCATACTATTATTATTTATATTATGCATAATTTAAATTAAAGGGTATTCCTAGTTCTTAAGTCTTTCATTTTTTTGAATTGAAAAAGTTAACATACATATTATAGGCATTAGCTTTTAAGTGGTATTAAATATATTTTAATAAGACTGAAAAATATACTAATTTTTTTTTCAAATATCAAGAAGAGAAGTATGAAATTTATGGGCATTGAAACAGTAATTTAAAACGTTTTTTCAACATATCTGTTGCTTTCAATAGTGATAACATTGTGTCTGATATAAAACAGTTTTCCCAATCAATGAGCTTCAGTATTATAAAATAATCTTCAATTATTATAAATATTACATAATAATCTTCTGCATTATAAAAATCATTACTGAAGAGAGTTACGTTAATTATTTAAAGAACCATTTTATTTGAATTTCTTAACAACAATTTGTAATAACTGTTATTTCATATAATAAAGTGCCTTAAATTAAATTAGTTTCTAATATCCAATAATACACTGATTGCAAAGTTTAAGTCTACTTAATGTTACACACTTATTTGAAATTTAGAGAGAAGAATTTTTTTAAATATTTTTTTAATCATGTTGTCACCCTACTTCAACATGCAAACCTTTAATGAACAGATGCACTTAATGAGATGGTCGAATCTCAAATTATTCCATTTTCTAAACATTTACGTGTTTCAAGAATGAGTTCATATCCCCGGACGATGTTTTGAAGGGATAATATCAAGCAATATGTTTATGTATGACAAATATTACAGATATAAATAATTTAGACAATCTGAGAAAAAGATAAGAAAGAAAAAGAAATTTAAGATAAAAAGTAGTAAAAATAAGCAAGAAAATATCACTGACTGCAATTCCATGAGAGCTCAGTCTAACTTTATCAAGTAGGTCCTGTTAATAGCAAACATAGCAGAAGTTATAACATTTCACATGGAAGATGGATGGTTTGATCAGTAGGAGAAAGCCATGTTTCTCCATGGCTTTCATGGGAATATAGTGGAAGTTGCATTACTTATGAGACTGCTATGCAAGAAACTTTTGGAAGTTTCCATGAAAGCCAATTCAAGAGTAAGTAATGCAAGAAATATTTTTGACTTGCAAAACTGAAAGTTAAAATGCTTATCCCAATAACAGAATGCTACTTGAAGACCTTTCCAACTATCTTCAATGTTTTATACTGCATGTGTTCACTTATTTTGAATTTTCAAGACGTGAGGGTTTGCCCTATGTATGAAAAACACATTACAGGATATTTTGCAAATGTCCAATGTATAAACATCTGGATTCTGTCTTCCACAAATGAGAACAGAATTTTATTTACAAGTTCAAAAGAAATCAGAAAAGCATACTATTCCAAACATTTAGAGAGAAAAAAAAAAAAAAGTGATGAGTTTAGAGATGAATGGGAGCCAACATGTCCTTTGTTTGAAATCAAAGGAGACGAAGGAAAATCTCTCATAAGTGATGTCATTGACAGTAGAGTGATAAACAGGAGAAACAACATTTTTCAGAATAGAGAGGAGCTGAGACGTTGAACGTGTAGCACGTATTTTCGTGACGCTCTTACTCTGATCTGATACTAACCTAGTTCCGTAGGCGATCAGTAATCGTAATTTTTACTGAAGTTTCTGTTACCTTCGGGTGACAAAAATGTCGTTTTTTAGGACTGAAGATGATGATTTAAATTCTGAATGCTGTTCAAGATCCACAAGGTCCTAACCAGCAAAATGGTGCAAAGATGATTTTGTCAAGAAGGGGAAGAAGAAAAAAGACCCACCCAGACTTGACATGGATACTGACCTGACGAAAAACTTGGAAAAAGAATGAATGAATCACATAAAAGAGCGAGGAATTGAGGATTTAATGGACAAAATGAGTCGTAAACCCCGAGCAACGCTGATGGACTTGCAAGACACTCTACACGCCAAGAAGCTGAAATGTACTGATAACCCCCGGCCGAACCTGAAACCAGATGGATACTGATAAAGAACCTGATGAAGGATGGATAAAACCTAAAAATCCTGCTAAATCTCCAGAGAAAGTGGAATCTACAAATTTCACGTACGAAAACCGTTTTGAACAGCCCAAAAGGAGAAATGTTAATAAAGAAGGAGGAGCTACCTTGACGAAAATGCCCCCACCCATTGTGTTTCGGCGAAACTCCACGGAATGGCTTAAGTTAGACGAAATTTTCCAAACCCATTGTACAGATGAATACGATGCTAACCTGAAAATGAACAGTATCTATGTTTATGTTAAAAATGACCTACAAACCGAATGAAAAAAGTGTTCCTTTTCATACTTATCAACTGCCAAGTGAGAAGAACGTTAAAGCAATCATGAAAAACATTTCAGAAACCATCACTGAGAAGGCGATTTTCAATGACTTAAAGCGCAGGAAGTTCCCAATTATTAAAGTCCAGCAATTTACTAGAAACTGACATAGAATTACTGAAAAACTACCCATCTTCTTCATGGAGCTACTAAGAAACGAAGCTGGAAATGCTATTTTCGACCTTAACAACATGTTCAGTTTCAATGTGAAGGTAGAGAAGTTTGCTCCTAGGAAGCATCCGATGCAATGCTACCGATGCCAGGATTACGGCCATATGCAGCACCTCTGTAAAAATCACAGTACCAAAATTTGCCCCAAAAAGCCTGAGGATACTTCCACCTGCTCTTTCTGTGGACAGGGACACGTGAGTAGTTACCGTGGTTGTAAAGCATACCAAGAGAAGTTTGAAAGAAAAGTTAAGAATCAGACACTCCCCCCCACCAAGCTGGACGAAGGAAGAATTCCCCAATCTGAAAAACTCTGATGAAAACAACACTAGCAAGGAAGTAAACACAACTGCCAAACCTAAGTACAGTTAAAGGTCAAAGGTCAAAGACTTCAAATCCTGAAGGAAGCAAACGCAGTAACTAACTGGTTATTTGATAATAAAGTGCAATAACTCCTGAACAACATTCTTATATTTATTGATAAAATTCGCCAAGCCAGGACTGTAGCCAATAAACTTTCCGCAGGTTTCAAAG